CCGCACGCCGCCCTGCTGGCCACCGCCCTACTGCCCGCACCGCCCTGCTACGCGCCGCCCTGCTGCTCGCGCCGCCCTGCTGCTGCCCGCCCTGCTGTGCGCCGCCCTGCTGGCAGCCGCACCGCTGCCTGCACCGCCCTGCTACTGCCCGCCCTGCCGCACGCCGCCCTGCTGGCCGACGCCCTGCTGCCCGCGCGCCGCCGTGCTGCCCGCGGGCCGCCCTGCTGGCAGCCGCACCGCCCTGCCCTGGCCGCGCGCCACTCTTCCCTAGCCATGCGCCGCCTCTCCCTGCCCTGCGCACTTCCCTAGTGCTCGCGCGCCGCCCTACCTGCGTGCTGCCCTGCTGGTCGCACGCCACCCTGCTCTGCCCGCTATGGCTTCTCTCAGTGTTCTCACCTTCGATCATGAGGGCCATCCGATCCAGTTTGATACGTGGCTCGACGACTTACAGCTGTACCTACTGAGTGATTCTAGAGACAGCGTTTCGTTGTTTGACCACACGTCTAGAGCCTCTCTCGCTCCTCCCGCCACAGATGACAGTGCGACTTGCTCACAGTGGCTTACCCGTGACGCTGCTGCTCGCTTAGCCGTTCGCAACCACCTGCCGTTAGCCGAACGCGCTCACTTTGGCCAGCACAAGACAGCTAAAGCCCTGTACGACGCTGTAGTCGCTCGTTACTCTTCCCCTGCCACTGCTGCTCTCAGCCGCCTTATACTGCCCTACCTTTTTCCCGAGCTGTCAGCCTTTGCCACAGTCGAGGACCTCATTACCCACCTTCACACTAGCGACACTCGCTACCGCACTGCCCTCCTAGCCAAGTTCCTAGACAATAACCCGCCCCCGATGTACATCACTCTCTACTTCATAGTCACCCGCCTCCCTGACTCTCTTCGCGTAGTCAAGGACCACTTTCTCGCACTTGACCCCACATACCTCACTGTCGACCTGCTCGAGAAGCACCTCCTTGCAGCAGAGACTAGCGTAGTCATTGTAGGTGCTGCTTGTGGCACTCCTCGCACACCCTTCTTCGAGGGATGTACCCCCTTCCCCCTTGCCCCCTCCTACGCTTCTGCTGCTGCTGTTGACATCTTTGGTACTGAGGATTTCGGGGCTGTTTCTGCTCTTAGTGGGAAGCGCCGCAGCAGCAAGGGCAAGGGTGGCAGGGGTGGTGGCGGTGGCAGCGGGGGTGGTCAGGGTGGAGGTGGTAGAGGCGGTGAAGGTGGCGGAGGTGGTGGCAGCGGTGGGAGTGGTGGCGGGAGTGGGGGCTTCGGTGGCAGCAAGGGTGGCAGTGGTGGGGGTGGGGGTGGCGGTGGTGGCGGCAGTGGGAGTGGTGGCGGCGGCAGTGGTGGCGGTCGGGGTGGAGCTGTTCAGAGGGGAGGTTCTGGCGGTGGCCAGAGGCAGCAGCAGCAGCGTCGGAGCAAGACCCCTACGCCCCAGCAGCTTCGTGAGTGGTTTGCTCAGCGTGGGGCGTCTGGGGGTAGTGTTCGCTGCCCGTATGTCAATCGCACAGGTGACCGCACTGGTCAAACATGCGGGAAGTTTCACACACAGCATCGCTGCTTCTCCCACCTTGACGACGCTTGGCGCGCAGAGTTTGGCGGCGAGGCTGAGCGCCCCAGCTGGCTAGAGCTGCTTAGGTCTGGAGTTGATATCTTTGCTCTTGACTGTGATGCTATCCTTGCTGCCATGTATGCCTTGTCTGTTAGTGCTGAGGATGATTGTTACCTGTGTGTGCCACTCGACCCAGGTATAGAGGCTGCTGCTCTAGATGCTGTTGAGTCTGCTCTCCCAGGTACTGCGCCTGCTAAGGCCTTGCACACCTTCACACTTGACTCAGGTGCTTCTCGCTGTTTCTTTCGCGACAGTACAACCCTCACTCCACTCCCTGCACCTGTTCCAGTCAGACTGGCTGACCCCTCATGGGGCCCAGTTCTTGCACATTCCTCCATTGTTCTCCTACGTCCGGCGGTTGGGTCCGGCTCACTCTCATCTCTTCACCTCCCCTCGTTCTTTACGAACTTGGTGAGTACCGATGCCCTCCAGGATGCGATGGTCACTACCACCACTCCAAGGGGTCAGCGTGTGTCGATAGGCATGTGTACACGGACAGGCCGTCACCTGGCCACGTTCACCCATCGACCTGGGTCGAGTCTGTACACACTGACTACTAGGCCTCATCAGGTAGCCGCGTCTGCTCAGGTGTCCGCGTCAGGTCCGGTAGCAGCCCCCTGCTCGTGTCGCCTCCTGTCGCACCAGACTCTCCTGTGGCACCACCGCCTTGGTCACCCCTCCCTGCCACACCTTCGTGGCATGCACTCCCGCCTCCATTTCTCTGGTCTTCCTAGGTCTCTGCCTCCCCTCCCGCCCTCGCCTGCCCCGCCCTACCTTCCGTGCGTCGAGGGGCGGCAGCGCGCCGCTCCTCACTCCTCCTCGTTTCCCCCGACGACTGCTCCCCTGCAGACTCTCCACATGGACGTGTGGGGCCCAGCCCGCGTCAGTGGACAGGGCCGCGAGCGCTACTTTCTGCTGGTTGTTGACGACTAGACGCGTTGCACCACGGTCTTCCCCTTGCGCAGCAAGGGTGAGGTCCCTGATGTCTTGATCCCTTGGATCCGTGCCGTCTGTCTCCAGCTCCGCGAGCGGTTCCACCAGGACCTTCCTGTCCTGCGTCTGCACTCTGACAGAGGTGGTGAGTTCTCCTCCGACCTCTTGTGGGACTATTGTCGTGGGGAGGGCATCCTCTAGTCGTTCACACTTCCGGCCTCCCTGCAGCAAAATGGGGTTGCTGAGTGCCGCATTGGCTTAGTCATGGAGGTGGCTCGTACCTCCATGATCCATGTGGCTGCTCCCCATTTTCTGTGGTCGTTTGCGGTCCGGTACGCTACGCATCAGCTCAACCTCTGGCCCCGTGTCTCCTTGCCGGAGACCTCGCCTACACTGCGTTGGACGGGGAAGGTGGGCGATGCGTCGGTGTTCCGGGTCTGGGGCTCTCGTGCCTTTGTCCGCGATACTTCCGCGGACAAGCTCTCCTCCCGCGCTATTCCCTGCGTCTTCCTTGGCTTTCCTCCTGACGCGCCTGGCTGGCAGTTTTACCACCCCACCTCGCGCCGTGTCCTGCCCTCTCGGCACGTCATGTTTGACGAGTCGGTTCCCTTTTACCGTCTCTTCCCCTACCGCACTGCCCCTCTCCCACCCCCGCCGATCTTCCTCGCTCCAGGTCCCCCTCAAGTAGACCCCCTCCCCCCTCAGGGTCCTTCTCCCTCAGGTGTGTCTCAGGTAGAACCACTCCCCCTGGCTGAGCTTGTCGAGGTCGGTGTAGACTCAGGTGCTGCTAGGGGTGCTGCGTCTGGGGGTGCTGCGTCTGGGGGTGCTGAGCCTGCGAGTGCGGAGCCTGGGGGTGCTGAGCCTGAGGGTGCGGAGCCTGGGGGTGCTGAGTCTGAGGGTGCGGAGTTTGGGGGTGTTGAGATCCTGCGGGTGCCTCGCTATGACTGTCTCACCGGCAGAAGCCTCTCTCACCGCAGCAGGTGCGTGTGTGGTTTGCTCAGCGCACACGCCTTAGGAGTGGCGCTGCAGGAGCTGGAGGCCCTGCCGCTGGAGGCACTGGAGCTGGAGGTGCTGGAGCTACTAGTCCTAGAGGTGTTGGAGTTACTGCTGGAGCTGTAGGTACCGGAGGTGCTAGATCTGCTGGTCCTAGAGGTGCTCGTACTAGAGGTACTGGAGCTTCCGGAGCTGGTGGTGTTGGAGGCGCTGGAGCTGGAGACCCTGGAGCTGGAGGCACTGGAGATGGAGACCCTGGAGCTGGAGGCACTTGAGCTGGAGGTGCTGGAGCTTCTAGTCCTGGAGGTGCTGGAGTTACTGCTGGAGCTGGAGGTACTGGAGGTGCTGGAGCTGCCGGAGGTACTGGAGGAGCAGTAGCAGTAGCAGTACTCGAGGTACTGGAGGTACTGGAGGTACTGGGGTGCTGGAGTTACTGCTGGTCCTGGAGGTGCTCGTACTCGAGGTACTAGAGCTGCCGGAGCTGGTGGTGTTGGAGGCACTGGAGCTGGAGACCCTGGAGCTGGAGGCACTGGCGTTGGAGACGCTGGAGTTGGAGGAGCTGGAGCTGGAGACGCTGGAGCTGGAGGCGCTGGAGCTGGAGGCGCTTGCGCTGGAGGCGCTGGAGCTGGAGGCACTAGAGCTGGAGACACTGGAGCTGGAGGTGCTGGCGCTGGGGGTGCTAGAGCTGGCGGTCATGGTGCTGGAGGCACTGTGCAGGGGCGACCATTTTTCGTTCCGCCGCCGCCGTCGTCACCACCGCACCTGACTCGGTCCTTCGGTAGGTTCTTAGTCTCCTGTCTTCTACTGGCCTTACTCCTAGCTTACTGTGTCCACCGCCTCACCAGTCGCAGCCATAGTTACAGCCAGACTCCCCACTGCTTGCTCCTTCTCCTTACGCTTAGCAGACAGACTGTTTTACAGAGCGTCGTGAGCCTGAGTCTCGTCCTGCCTCGCATGTTTGCGTTGTTCGCACTGGTCGTCGTATTCCTCGTCCGCGTCCACCTCCTGTCCCCGGCACTCACATTATGGCACTTCGTCCTTCCTCTGTTCCACTGCGAGTTCCCCTGCCGCCTCCTCCTGCGTCCTCTCTTCCTGTCGTTCCTGACCCTGGGTCTGACTTAGCTCGTGCTGCGAGTCCTACTGTCCCTCGTCATCTAGCCACTGTCACTGACCCTTCGTTTGAGTCCACTGCTGCGTCTGCCCTAGTTGCTGAGCTTGTTCACTTTGCTGCCGCCTGTCGTCTCGACTACGCCGCTAGTCTTGTTGCTGAGTCTGAGTGTACTCCGTCTGTCGGGGGTGAGTGTGCTCTTGGCACGGACGTCCTTGAGGACAGGCAGGAGGACTTTGAGTGTCTTGCAGTTGCTGTACCTCATCTTGTGGCCATGCTGCTTGCACCTGAGGGAGACCCGGATGCACCAGACATTCCGACCCCGCGCTCTTACGCAGAGGCGATTACGGGTCCCTACTCTTCTCAGTGGCAGACATCCATGGACGCAGAGATGGCATCCTGGAAGTCCACAGGCACCTACGTCGACGCAGTTTCCCCTTCTGGGGCGAACATAGTCGATGGCATGTGGATTTTCAGGGTGAAGCAGCCGCCGGGTTCTTCGCCTGTCTTCAAGGCTCGTTACGTTGCACGAGGCTTCAGAAGAGATCATAAGATCGCTGAGACCACACTCAAACTCGCTCTCCTCGTACACGCCCAGAGACGCCAGTCTCAGCCCCTTATGCGCCACTACCACCACCCCCTCCCTCTCTGCACGCTCCCATCCCCACTCCTCTTCTTCTCCTCCTCCTCCTCCTCCTGTACCTCCTCCTCCACCTCCCCCTCCCCCTCTGCCCCCTGCTGCTCGCCTTTTCTCTGCTTTCTCCTTCTTCCCTTGTCCTTCATTCCTCACGCTTCCCGCTCCTCCTTCACCTCCCTCACCCCGCACACCACCGCAACCCACCCACCGGAACCGCACTGCCTTCTCCTTCCCCGATTTCTTCTTCTGGCTCTGTTTCTTTCCTCTCATCACTTCATCTCCACACTCATCCTCCCCCCTCTCCGCCGCTGCTTCCGTTAAAGCCTTTCCCACCCCTACCCCTCCTCCACCTCCGCTTCCTCCCTCCTCTCCTCCCCCTCCTCCTACACCATAACCATCCAAAACAGACTCTTCTAAGGGAGCGAAGCCGGAGAGGGGGGGATGGGAGAGGAGGGAGAGGGAGGGACAGCGGAGGAGGCGGGAGAAGAGCAACTGGCTGAAGGCGGAGTCCAGGGGGAGGGGCAGGCGGAGCTGCTGGCACGTGGGGGAGAGCAGGCAAAGCAGAGCGGAAAGGGAGCAGCCTGAAACGAGGATAGGAAGGGAAGGTGGGATTATGAGTCAAAGTGGGAAGTAAAGCAATGCAGGGAGGGAGGCGGGAAAGGGAACAGGTGATCTACTACTGGCCTGGCCTGGCCTGACTCGGTCTGGCCTGACTCGGTCTGGCCTGGCCTGGCCTGACCTGGAGGCGTGGTCTGGCCCGGCCTAGACTGGCCAAGATTGGACTGGACCTGGCATAGTCTGGCCTGGCCTGGCCCGACCAGGCCTGGATGGCCCGTTGGCTGGCTGGCTGGCTGGCTGGCCGGTTGGCCGGCTGGTTGGCTGGACGGCTGGCTGGCTTACTGTCACGGCCTTCAAGAGCGATCTCCTCAAGAGCAGCCGCGAAGAGCTGGTCCATCACGCGCTCCCGCTCTTATCAACCCCTTATTGTGACGCACCTCAAAAACAGACGCGCTCTCGCGCTTGTCGACCCCTTATTTCAGTACTCTAATATGTCTCGATTGTCGCTCTACGCCCTCAAGCTACAGTCTTCCTCCCCTCTTGTCGACTCTGACAGCTCTCTTTTCTTCCCTTTCGTTTTCTCGCGTCGCCGCCCTTGATCGCCCATACCACTGCCGTTGCACAGCCTTGTGTCATCCTAGCGACTCGCCATCCTTGTCTCGACAGAGTCATTACGGGCCATTCTCCTTGGAACTAATTTCCTGCATGTTTACGAGACTAAACCCGCCGAGGCTTGGCGTGGCTTCTAAAATCTAGACCACTAAAAACCTCAACCTCGGTGAACAGAGGCACTGGCCCTTGTGAAGTCGAAGCTGCAGAAGAGACACACATGCACTGACCTGGGTGAGCTGCGCAGCTATCTTGTCTTGCAGATTACCTGGGACAGAGCACGGCACACCATCACACTGACTTAGTCACACATGGTGCACCAGGTCCTTCAGCGCTTAGCGGTTCCAGTACTCCTCGCCACAGTCCACTCCTCTGCCTACCGGTCACTCGCTCTCAGCTCCACCTTCGGGCGAGTCCGTAGAGCCGAGTGGCCCATATCCAGAGCTTGTGGGCTGCCTCATGTACCTGATGACCTGCACTCGACCTGACCTTGCCTACCCTCTTAGCATCCTGGCACGCTACGTTGCGCCTGAGAGACACCGACCAGAGCACTGGGAGGCCTCTAAGAGGATGTTGCGCCACTTGTGCACTACATCGAGCATGGGGCTCGTGCTTGGAGGACGGGGTCTATTTCTCCTCACTGGACACGCAGACGCTTCTTAGGTTGACGACTTGGCTACGCAGCGGTCGTCACAAGGTTACACTTTCAGCCTTGGCTCCGGCTGTGTTTCTTGGCGGTCTACCCGCTCGTCTTCTGTTCTCAGTTCCAGTTGTGAGGCTGAGATCTATGCAGGGGCCATGGCTGCACAGGAGCTTCGCTGGCTCACCTACCTGCTGACCGACTTGGGGGAGCAGCCTCGTTCTTCTCCAGTTCTGTACGTAGACAACAAGGCCATGATTGCCTTGTGTCAGGAGTTCAGACTGGAGCACTGAACGAAGCACATCGCTCTGCGTTACTTCCTTGCTCGAGAGTTGCAGCAGCGTGGTCAGCTTCGTCTTGCTTACGTGGCCACTCGGGCCAATACTGCTGATATATTCACCAAGGCACTTCAGTCTAGTGATCATCAGCGTTTTTGTACTGTTTTAGGCCTTGTGCCTACTTTGCCTCACTTGCTCACTGCGTGACTTTGCTTGTACTGTGATCTACAGTATATATATACCTGCATGCTTATACTTGCTATGTTATGATCACTGTACTATTTGTTCTCTTTTATATAACTCTGCATGTGAACTAGCCTTGTGGCCATTTGCTTGTGCTCGGAATGTGTGGTGACTTCGTGATCCACCCTGAGCTTGCTTTGCTTTTCTTGACTGGTCTTGTGACCAGGCCCTACGATATCAGGAAATTTTCCCTGAAATTCCTGATTTTCATGGATTTTTTTATACCTACCCTGATTTTCCAGTGTTCAGCTTTTTGGGGAACTGATTTTTCAGCCTTTAGGGGCCAGATGACTCTGAACTTTCAGGTTTTTTTTTTAAGGGACACTGATTACACTACGTTGTAACGAAACAGACACTGAATGCGATTCCTACCCGTTCCGACTGTAGTTGCCCGGAAGTACAGGGAATCTTAGATTCCCGCGGTGTCAGCACTGCCTGGCGGTGACTACCAGACAAATTTGCCCTGTGTTATTCGCTTTGAGGGCTGCTTTGTTGGCGCGCTTGGTCCGATCATTGGCCACTTTTGCAGCATTATGTGGGTTGGCCAATGACAAGGTTGCAACAGAGCGATGCTGGCAGGCTGCGATGCGAGGGTTTCTGGCCCATTGCTTACACCTGTGGTCCTGTGGCCCGTTTTGTCTAAGTCGTGCTGGCAAGCACTGATGCATCCACGCGGCCCAGCCGTGCTACCTGCCATCCAGGCTCCCATCCCATTCTGCTCCATGCTTTCCTTCCATCCGCTTGGGGTTTCATCGAGTTCCTGCCTAGTGTTATCTTATTTTAAGTTCAATGTCAGCCTTTACAAAAAAAAAGAGCACTGATGCATCAGACTTTTTCTAAAGGTAACACTGAATTTCAGGCTTTTCTATTTTGGGGACACTGACGATCAGGGATTCTACACAGAGGGACCCTGATGCATTAACGTGCCAAAAAGTGAATCATAGGCCCTGCTTGTGACCACTTGTTCTCCCCCACTTTGCCTATGGGGGTGTATCAAAATTTTATAATGCTTATATTGTGTAGGCTTCAGTGGGGTAGCTCATAAGGGGGTACATGTCAAACATATCTGCTTTAGTCTATCTAGGCTGTAGTGGGGTAGTCAATACAGGGTACAACACTTATTAGGTTTTCATATTTCTACCCACCTACTACCTAGTTCATTCATTCCATTCTCAACTTTCACATGGTATAGAGCTGGTTCGAGTTTTTTTTAGGGCCCACCACTCGAAACATTTTTTTCCTTACCTGCCCGAGGCGCGTGTCGCGTTTGACCGAGCCGCGCCCTAGTGCCTGCCCTTCGAGGCCCCTAGTGGCCTGTCGCTGCCCCTTCGTGGCCCTTAGCGGCCCCTCTTAAGGCCCGTCGCGGCCCCTCTTCAGGCCCGTCGCAGCCCCTTCTTAAGGCCTGTCGCGGCCCCTCTTAAGGCCCGTCGCGCCCCCTCTTAAGGCCCGTCGTGGCCCCTTCCTAAGGCCCGTCGCGGCCCCTCTTAAGGCCCGTCGCGGCCCCTTCCTAAGGCCCGTCGGGGCCCCTCTTAAGGCCCATCGCGCCCCCCCCCCTTCTTAAGGCTCGTCGCGGCCCCTCTTAACGCCCATCACGGCCCCTGTTAAGGCCCGTCGCGGCCCCTCCTACGGCCCTTCGCGGCCCCTCTGACGGCCCATCGCGGCCCCGTCACGGCCCTTCGCGGCCCCTCTGCCGGCCCATCGCGGCCCCTCTGACGGCCCTTCGCGGCCCCTCTGCCGGCCCGTCGCGGCCCCTCCGCCGGCCCGTCGCGGACCCCCCCCCCCTTCTCGGCCCCAACTGGCGCGCCCCCGGCCGGCTCCTGCTGCCGAGCCCCTGCCGGCCCCAACTGGCGCGGCCCCTCCTGGCGTGCCTCTGCCGGCCCCTGCCGGACCCTGCTGACGAGCCCCTGCCGACCCCTGCCGGCGCCTGCACCTGTCTCTAGTAAGCCGAGCCGCGCCACCCGGCTGAGCCGCGCCGCCCAGCCGAGCCGCGCCACCTAGCCGAGCCGCGCCGCTGCTGCTACTGCTGCGCTGCTGCTACTGCCGCTCCTACTGCTACTGCTGCACTACTGCTACTGCTGCTCCTCTTCCTACTGCTTCCACTGCTGCTATGGCTAGTCCTACAGTTCTCACCTTTGACTCTGAGGGACGTGCAGTTGACTTTGATGTATGGGTTGATGACCTACAACTCTTTCTTCAGTGTGATTCTAGAGATGGGGTATCCCTTTTCGATCACACGTCCGGTGTTTCCACTGCTCCTCCTGTCACTGCTGACAGTACTGTTCGCTCGCAGTGGACCACTCGTGACGCTATTGCTCATCTTGCTGTTCGTAGTCACCTGCCGCCTGCTGAGCGCGCACACTTTGGTCAGTACAAGACTGCTCAGTCTCTGTACGACGCTGTAGTTGCACGCTACTCCTCCCCTGCCATTGCTGCCCTCAGTCGCCTCATGCTGCCGTACCTTTTCCCTGACCTTGCCGCCTTTGCCACAGTCGCTGACCTAGTTGCTCACCTTCGCACTAGTGACGCCCGCTACCGCGCTGCCCTTCCCACTGAGTTCTGTGCCAAGAACCCCCCCCCCATGTACATCACCCTTTACTACCTAGTCACCCGCCTCCCTGACTCTCTCTCTTCAGTCAGGGACCACTTTCTCTCTCCCTTTGCCCCACCGAGCTGACTGTCGACCTGCTAGAGGAGCGCCTTGCTGCAGCTGAGAAGAGTATCTTAGCTGTAGGTGCTTCTCGCGGCGACCGTCGCACCCCCTTCTTTGAGGGGTGTTCCCCTGCCCCCCTTCTCCCCTCTGTTGCTTCTGCTGCTGCTGTCGACCTCGTTGGCACTGAGGAGGTCGGAGCTGCGTCTGCCCCTAGTGGGAGACGCCGCAATAGCAAGGGCAAGGGGTGGCGGGGGGGGGTGGCGGTGGAGGTGGAGGTGGTACCGGGAGTGGGGGCTTCAGTGGCGGCAGTGGAGGTGGTGGAGGCAGCGGCGGAGGTGGTGGAGGCAGCGGCAGCGGTGGTGGAGGTGGAGGCGGCGGTGGTTCTGGTCGAGGTGCAGCCGCGCAGCGTGGAGGCTTTGGTGGCAGCCAGCGCCAGCAGCAGCTGCGCACCCGTGAGACCCCGTCGGTTCAGCAGCTTCGTGAGTGGTACGCTGGGCGTGGGAGGTCTGGGGGTGCAGGTCCCTGCGCTTACGTTCTTTGCACCGGCCCTCGTAGTGGGGAGGTGTGTGGGCTCCCACACACCACGCAGCGCTGCTTCGGTCGCTTGACTGACGCTTGGCGTACCCAGTTTCCTGACTCTGTTGAGCTCCCTCGCTGGCATGATTTGCTTCTGCAGTATGTGCCTATCTTTGATCTAGATTTTGATGCTATCCTTGCTGCCATGTATGCTCTTGCTGATATTACTGAGTGTCCCGCCCGACCCGGGCACTGCGGCTGCTGCTCTAGGTGCTAGTGCGGCTGCTGCCCTAGGTGCTGGTGCGTCTGCTGCTCCAGGTGCTGGTACGTCTACTCTCTCTCGTACTGCACCTACTGCGTCCTTGCACACTTTCACACTTGACTCTGGTGCTTCGCGCTCTTTCTTTAGAGACAGCACCACGCTCACGCTGCTCAGCCGGCCTGTTGCGGTCTCCCTTGCA